GATGGGTTTTTTATAAATGCTAGATATATTATAGAGAGAGTTGATAATATTCTCAATGACAAATTCTCTTTTTTTGTGTACTTACCTAGTTTATTGAGGAGCAGTTGGCCGAATGGATGAGAACGCTGAGCTATCTTGTGAGAGACTGAGGTTCGAAACTTCAGTAAGGTCATGGTTTTTTTCCGCCTGGAGCAAAAATAAAATTCTAATCTGTACAGTGTGTGGCGACAGCACTGGCTGTGCAGCAATAAATTCCTATACTCAAAGACCTGCCCTGCCCTACAGGCAGTAATTGGCAGGTTGTTTAGTTTAGCAGTTTGACCTAGTTGATTTATTTGCTTTGTTTTTGTTTTTCTGTTTCAGCTATTGTAGATAGACCTGGAGTTGATGTATTGGGCCAGATTCCTTCAAAGAAAAATTATGAATGTGTTTGCCCCAACTGCCAGCGCCACCTAGCAGCTTCCCGGTTTGCCCCACATTTAGAAAAATGTATGGGAATGGGACGTAACTCATACCGTATAGCCAGACGAAGGTAATGTATGGGATGCCTCTCTTGCTAAAAGTTAAGACAGCCTGAGAAAAAAATTGACAGATATTATTTGTCACTCATACGAGCAAAGGAAGGAAGTAGAAAGGCAAACTAGACTATAGAAAAATTGAAAAGAATAGGCATATCAGATTTCAAACTTGCCATGGCAGTTCATACAGTGATACTTGACTCCTCAGTGAAAGAAATATGTCTATAGATTTTGTACCCAGTAAGAATTATCTATAGGAATGATAGACCAAGCAGTTCTCAGTGGATGGTGGGATGTGATCAACAGTTGCCTGGAGTCTTCTCCTCAAACACTTATCTCCTGCTCCTAACATGGGATGCAATTTTTTGTTATTCAGAAACCCCGCTACGCCTGTCATTTGGGGACCTTATATAACCGAATGGTTGAACGGGGTCTCTGGAACTTGTGTGCAGGGGATTCTCAACCGAATGGTGGTCCTGGTAATGTTGAATGTCACTCACTCCTTAAACACTTAGTGGTACATCCCTTTTTTTTAGTCTAGGTCGCCCTGAGAGGCCAAGTCTGCCTTTAAGGAGATTGACACCTTGTGTCTAATTGTTTATGTATTGTGTTGGTTATTTGTGATTTAAATGCTTTTGCTTGAGCCAACTTAGGTTTTCTTAAATCAGCATCTGACCTATAGCTGCACCCAGTTCTTCATGCAAGAGAAGTTTCTGGTCTGTGGAAACTCAGCATGTGGACAACACAGAAGATCCATGTAACCCCAGTCTAGACAGTGAAAGATTGGTGCTCTTGGGATAGATCTCTTAATGCTCAGAGGAGATGCAAGATGTAGATATAACCATATTACAGTTAGCACTATTTGTATTGGGACTCTGTTCTAACTGCTGAAATTAGGAACAGAGCATCTATGGGAATGTCTCAAGTTTTGTGATGTTGTTTATTAACTCTTAATCTTCAATTGTTTTTAACATTTGGTAATTAATTTTACCTCTTTTTTCCTGTTTTGTGTCTAGTTTTCTGCATTTGTTATCCTAATTTCTATTTTTGGGTAGAATTGCCAACAACCAGAAGCAAGGCAGTGATGAAAGTGGCCAGGATGACGAGAATGACAATGACTGGAATTACACACCAGAATCACGACGCTGTAAGAGCCAAAAGAATTTAACTGTAACAGTTATGCTTAAGTTGAAGTTTGTTTCTGTAGCTACTTATCTCTGTCTGTCTCTGTCTCTCTCTCTCTTAGTCTTGTCTATCTATCTGCCTGTGTCTGTCTCTCTTACAACCCCCCCTCCCCGGTATTCTTTGTTGCCTGCAAACTTGTTTGTCTCTCTGTTTCTTGTCTCCCCCCCCCCCCTCTCCCCAAGTCTGTCTGTGCATCTATATCTGGCTGGCCATCCTATCTGCCAGTCTCCCATTTCTCTCCCCACTTCCATCCTTTCTCTGTTGGGCTTTCTGTCTGTTTTTCCCTACTTCCCTTACCTATTTCTGTCCATCCGTCATCTTCTCTCTCTCTCCCCCTCTCTCCCTTTCTCTCCCCCCTCTCTCTCCCCCTCCCTCTCTCTCTTTCTCTCTCTCTCTCTCTCTCTCTCTCTCTCTGGGTATTTTTATTACCATTTACCAGACTGTACGGCTCTTGCTTACAGATCGTAAAACAGTTGCTACATCTAATACCCATCTTTGTGCATGTACACCATGTCCTTTATTATGTCCTACATTGTGGATTAAGTCATGCACCTTTATCCGCTACTAGCAGTTTTCAGCCACCATGGCATAGTGGCTAGATGTTCACTCCTAGGTTGACCCACCCTAAAATGGGAACAAGGTAAAGTCCTGGAAAGTAAAGGCACCCAAGGTGATGTTCCCTATATCACCCATCAAGGAAAGATTGGTCTTTAAAATTATGAGTCTAGCATCATATGTCCGATAAACCATGGGGAGGACGGGGACTGTTTATATTTTTGCTAGAAAGGTTGACCCACTACTCTACTCGCACTTTCTGCAGAGATATTGAATAGGCATGGAAATGAAACACATCTTTGTCTTACTCCCCTTTGCACCTCAAACCGGTTTGACCTTTTGCCGGCTACTCTGACAGTTACTTATTGTTCACATTACAGCATTTCAATTAAATGGTTCGAAATCCTGTATCTCTCATGATGTTCTAAAGCTTTTGCTGTTAAGCACAGTTCAAAGCCCTATTGTAGACTGTGCATAATGACGTAGTTAACTTGATTATTTCTTTTTCAGTGAAAAGACTCAAGAAAGACAAAACTTCAAATTCACCACGGAATCGAAGACTGACCAAACTCAGAAATGGGGGTAAGTTGCTTGCAGTCTTTCCTCAGTATTGCCAGTTAAACTGCTAGGTTGGATATACTACCTTTAAGACCGAGTCAGATATACCGCACCAGTGACAGAGAAAGATATACTACCTTCAAGACAGAAAAGCTATCCTGCTTCTAAGACAGTATTTTATATACTACTTCGAAGACACTGTTTGGTGCACTGTGAAATATACTACTTCTGTTAACGGTCAGCAATATTTTTAATATTCTATGGATGACTTTGTCATTCTAAACGGGAATTCCAGTTCTAAACCTGACTTCATCATTGTATAATTAATCTTATTTTTGCATGCTCAACTACATGTTCTGACCAAGACCCTCTCCATCTAACGGGCCATGCTGCTAATATCACCAAACCGGGCTAACAGTGTTTTAACGTATTGTTAGCCAGGTTTGGTGACGTCAGCAGCATGTCCCGTCAGATGGAGACGGTCTTGTTCTGACTTTACCGTTATTTGCGTAACTTTACCATTGTGTACCTGGCTTAAGACGGATACACAAAACTTTTTACTCTATATCTGACTTTGTCATGGCTTATCTGCCTTCATCTTTTATATTCAGTCTCATACGGTTACTCAACTTCATTTTCTGAACTCAGTTTCATCATGACCTGTGCAACTTTAAGTTCTATACTCTGTCTCAACATATGCGACTTCATGTTATATACCTGACTTAATTATTATATACCATGGCTTCATTGGAAGCAGTCACAGCAGTTTTTTGATGACTGGCATGTTGTAATTATAACATGTTCAGAGCATGCTTCGAAAAATGCTCACAGTTGCTTGCATCGCCCAATAAGACTCAGATAAGAGCATATTGTGGACTTGTGTGTGTGTGTGTACGTGCGTGCGTGCGTGCATGCGTGCCTGGGACATTCAGGTGTGTGTGTGGTAATGAGCAGGCTGAGAGATTAGCTGCTGCAACCCTTCTGGGTGCTGAGCTACTTTACGATAAAATGAATATGCTGAAAGCTTTCCAGGATCAAGTAAACAGTGCAACAGAACAGGCAAGGCATTTATATCCGGAGATGATTCGGCTGGAAGTGAGCCAAGGGTCTGGGTGCTTTTTCTACGCACAGGTGAAAAAGCAGGCAGATTTTTTAATCAAGTTGTAAAGTTGTACCTGACGCCATCTGTATGGGAACTGTTTGTTGGCTACTGGGGAAAGTGGCGGAGCACATATGTTACTGTCCAGAGTGAAATAATTTCAGTTTTGATTCATTCTTTCATTCTATACCTTGACTTTAGCATTGTTTTAACCCACTGGCTATCAAGCCCAAAACCCTTTCACTTTACAAGATACCATATATTTTATTGTCTACTAAATAAATGCCATAGACTCACAACCATTTAACATAAATTCATATTTTGCATTTCTGCACTAATTTGACTGGAGAATAAATTTCAAAGATATGAACAGCATAATCTTGTTTGACATCATCGTCATCATGTGGTTGTAGATTGGTGCAAAAAAGGCAAGCGAAAAATCTATTTTTTTAATGACAGAAATATAGACATACAAATTCCATAGTGTAACAACTATTTAACATAAACTCCTATTTTGCATTTGTGCACCATAATGAATGGAACAAAATCACCAACAAATAAAAATAATGTAATCTTTTTGTACATCATTATAATGGAGCTTTACATTGGTGCAGTAAAGGCACCCAAAAAATCTTTTTTCTGACAACAATTAAACATTTTTTAAAAATGCTGTAATATTCCTGAATGAGAGCTCTGCCTAACTGAAATAAAATTCTGCAAATTCAGTGGCTGCCTGCCATTTTGAATCAAGAACTTCTGATATAGTACGACTGAACTGTCAAACTCAAAAAGCCACAAAAACTATCTTTTCCCAAATTGCACAAAAATGTTGAAGATTGCATTGGGAAACAATTTTCACTAAACTCTAAGCCACAGAGCCATAATGTACACAATCTACACTAACAAAGTCATCTTATAATACACATCTGAAGCACATACATAGTATAATTTGCACAAACTAAAGTAACATAACACACCGACCTCCTACTGCCACCCTACTGCTGTAAATGAAATGTCCTCGTCCAGTTTTGACTATGTTTTTGATGGCTGTTCATAAAAATTATCAAATTCAGTCTTCAGACTGTTTAGAAATATCTTCACCTTCGCTTTCTAATTTTAAAAAAAAATCCACCAAAACCACCCAAAGCACCAGAAATATCAGCAAAAAACATTGCCACCACAAGTCCGTGACGGCTCTTCCTGTGGGGCTTCATGATAAATACAGTAATGGAGCTTCATCGACAAGGGATATAATTCATTAAAAATTTACTCTGAGCACTACCGAGTTGTTCCCCTTAAAGAAACATGGAGAAATGAATCGACTGATAGCTTCAACTGTATTTATCACAAGGAGCGTCCAAAGTTACGATCATGGTGTACGATCATGGTGTACGATCATGGTAGCCAGGCGTAAACATCGGATGATCGCATAACATGTGATCATGGTAGTCTACTGTTGTCTGTATCATATGTCCTGATTGTTTCCTTCTAGGCTCCAGCCATGACTTGGCCCAAGTTTCAGGAGAGTCCAATGAGAGCCAAGAGACAGCTCAGGTTTATGAGGCTATGACATTAGGTTAGTGAATTGTGAACTTGCTCAAACAGTGTGACACCATGTCTGTTGTTATCCTCAGAACAGCTGTAGTTTTTTTTTGGGGGGGGGGGGGGGGGGGGGGGTAAGTTAACAGTTATGAGGGACTCAGATTCACTTACTGACTGTACTGTTGTGTTCACGGGTGGCATACAGCTGTAAAATCATGTTAATCTTTAAATCTGTCACCCCTGCGCGGCATTCCGTGACTTAGGCATTGCGAGTCCGACTCGTAATTCCAATGTACCATGATCGAAACACTTTTCTGGCTGCGTACATTTTATCATGGTATGGGGCATCGCAGGTTGACCTAGCCTAAAATTGGAACCACGATGGATATCCTGGGGAAGTAAAGACCGCCGTCTTAATGCTGACCACATTACCCACCTAGTGCCGATTGGTTTGTCAAAATATGGGTGCTTCCCATATGGGCCCAATGCACCTAAAGGTGTGAAATGGGATCTTTACCTTACTTTTTTTTTAACTCCTTTGAGACCACAAAACCTACGCTTCCGGTTTGGTCATATTTCCTGAGAGAGAAAGCCAGTTAACTGACTGTTTTGGAGTGACATGGTTACATGATACATAGATAATGCTGTTGATTTTGTTTGTACCTGTGCAGCGTTTAAGAGGTCAAGACATTGTATTTACTAAAAACAGCATGGGGGGGGGGGGGGGGTCTTGTGAACTGAATGGCTTTTTTAAAGCTGTGTTGATGTAATATTTTCGGCAAAGCCTCAGTGATAAAGGTCACAGGGTCATGACATGAGTCACCCGATACATGTTTTTTTTAAGGCCTTGGGAAATTTTAGGTAAATACAGTTAAAATAATTTATTGGTGACTTGTGTAAAATAGCCGTTTTTCAAAACGATTTTTTTTTCATAATTCTCATGGGTTTTTGACCCAGTTATTAGTGTTCCTAAGGCAACAGGGTTAATACGTAGTTTCAGTTTTGAAATGTGCGTATTGAGTATTAAGCTCTACATGCACAAGCAAACACACAAAACAAACAAAAACAAATGCTGACAAAAATCTAAATTTTGACACTTGATTATTGTTGTAATTAGTCTGCACTGAGATAAAGGATTCAGGTTGTTTTAGGGCACATTTTACAAAGCTGAACTAGGTGTAGTTTTATTGGCTGCCAGTTTGTTGAACTGATCAAGCTGCAGTACTTTAGCTGAGTAATGCATAGCATTGATCCTTGAGCCAGTTCTGACATTATAGCATCGTCAGGCATGAAATAGACTATATACATCTCACAGTAAGTAGAATTTTTGTTTATCTCTTTCTCTTCAGGCATTGGGGGTCGCTGGTCGCTCACCATGGATTGGAAGGTCGTGGATTCGCTACCTGGCGGAGTCGGGCTTTTAAAAAAAATGACCTTTGCTCCCAGGTCGACCCAGCCTTGCATTGGTATCGGGTGCAGTCCCGGGAAGTAAAGGCGACTGGTGTGATGCTGACCACATAACCCATCTTGTGCCGGTTAGTCTATAAAATATAGGTCTAGCCCCATATACCCAATACGCCTAAAGGCGTGGAAAAGGGTCCTTGTACTTTTACTTCAGGCATTCTTCTTTGTATGTGTTTTGTATTTACAAACCCTGCCACAGTCACTGTTTCTCTGTTTTATATTAAATAATGACACATTGCTTTCACAATTCATCTCCACAGAGGACAAGAAAGCCTTGCTTCTTAATGTAAGTGAAATGCAAATATACATCTCTCTTCATCATCTGCTCTCAGTCTAACTTCTTTATACTCTTTTGAGCAAGCGAATCTTGCGTGTTTTAGTCTAATTTTTAAATGCCACTTTTATTTCTCTTCTTCTGTTTCATGTTTTTTTTTTAAAGTATAGGTTTTAGTATTTTTTTTAAATTATTATTTATTTTATGTTAATATTCATATGATATTAAAGCCTCTCAACTGATTCATCATCTATCTTTCTAGTGTTTGGTGACTGAATAAGCCTACCTGGGTTAGCTCATAGACATTCCCCACCATCAATAGAGTTTCTATAAATGTGGTGCCAAAAAATGATGCACGGATACTGGATTACCCAAGGAATCATCACATGGCTGCTTAGCCTCAGTTTTATGGCAGCATATTGTTTCCAAAATATGTTCTTCTCAAGTCTGATATATCATTGCGAACCCAAATATGCATGAAGAAACTCAAATCCATCTTGCAGTAGATAATGGTGTCGATTTTCCTGAGCAAACTGCTAGAGGAGGGCACTTCTCTGCCCACAACTATTGGCACAATTTAGGATGTCCAATTTTTTTTCTTTTTTAGGCATATCAATCCAATAATTTAAAATTAATAAGGCATAACTTTTTTTCAGCACTACTTTAGTAGACAATTTGTAGTGCCGAAATCTTTATTTAAAAAAAAAAAAGTCCTAGTACTGGCTACTGTTATACAATAGCTCAGTCACATGTGATCTGGGCATTTAGTTATCAGATAGTAGCTGAACTAATCAGGGAAACCAATATAATCTTGATTCTGCTGGGGATTACCGCTGACTTGGTAGGCAAGAGTACAGATCACAGGGCAACTGCATTCTAATTTATTTATTTGTTTTGTCCACAGAGTTGTGGCGTAGTGTCAGAGCACACTAAACGTATGTGCACCAGGTGAGCTATATCTGGATTTGAATATTCCAAAAAGAAAGTTAGATAGATTGAAGTATGCTGGCCCTGATTAAAAATATTACAGTAATAGTCTACCAAGAAGGAGATGGGTGGAAGAGGTAAAAGGGACACTACAGAAACAGCATATGGCATTCACACAAGCTATAAAGCTAGTAGAAGAGACAAGAAACTACATCTCTGCTTCTATTTGTGATGCTTTGTGCCATACACAGTAGGACAAGAGAAGAAGAAGAATTACCAGGGTTTTGTTAATTTAGATATTTCTCCTGTATCCCTGTTATCTGAAGTCAGCACACCAGGCATGCATCTTTCATTGCTTAAGCACCAGTTGCCAAATTTAATACTCAGAGAATTTGTGACAGTCTGGGTAGTGCAGTAGGTATACTCTTCCCTGCTGGGCAGGAGGTCTTGGGTTTAAATCCTTATCAAGGGAGATTTTGTAATTGACCTGTAATCCAGCTCAAAAAGGTACCAGGAAATGAGATTGTATAGCATTTAAAGTTAAAGGTACCATGCTTGACCAAATCACCCATCTTCTTCTCATAGTCCATGCTGTGTGGCATTGGTAGCCATGTCTGTCCATAACATTTTGTTTCTTGTACTTTTAGTCAGTTCTGACAAAAATTATCTTTCATGCCATAATGTCAAACTGTCCAGCATCATCTCTTCCAGTCTCACTCGGCCTCTCTTCCTTCCGACTTTCCCACTATTATGATTTACTCCAGTTTTCTCCATCTCATGACTTGACCAAAGAATGTAGATTGTCTCCTTATGATATGGGGAATCAGTTCTCTTTGTGAGTCAGTTTCTTTCAAGACATCTTTCTTGCTCTTTAAAAATAAATATGTCTAGGGTATTTTGTTTTCTCGACAAAATCACCAGTTAAGTGCCAGTTAGTGTGTAGAAACATATGTCCGATGTAAAATTGGCATGAAAAGTGTCAGATTTTTCTTTATTTCACCAGCTTACCAACTCATGAGAAAGTATTACACCAGTGATTCCCAAACTGTGCGCCCTAGCACCCTAATGTGCCGCAACCTCTTCACAGGGGCGCTGCAAAATATTTGAAGATACATGAGTTTTATTTTTATTTATCTCTTACATATGAATAGTCGTAGTTTTTCTTGGGTAAGGACGCTGTGGAAAATTGTAATTAAAAAAATGCGCAGCGACTAAGAAAAGTTTAGGAAACACTGTTTTACACAGAATAATGATTATAGCAATCCTCAGTTCCTGTCCTGTCTTATATGTGCAATTTTACCAGCTGTTAAATGTCAGCCTAGATTTAATTATCTGGTCTTGTTGCTACAGAACAGGCAAGTGCGTACAACATACAGATGAGCAGCGACGTCAGGTCCGTCAGCTACTTTTGAGACAAAGGTAAGTGCACAATATTATTGGCCCCGTAAATTTGTTCTTGGAGACCTTCAGAATTCTTCTGACTACCAAATTGAAAAGAATGCATTGCAGTACTGTTGTGCTAAACCACTGAGGTTTCATGTAGCTGAATTATGTCATTTACCAGGACCATAAGAGGTCTCTTTTATATTCTGATCTTTTTGGATGCCACTATTTTTTTTTTCTTTAGGGAATAAAATGGTATGATAGAATCACTAATGTGGAGATTTGCCAGTGGACCAAGAGGTGAAGAAAAGATGCTAACATTGGATAGGCTACACGTTTAAAAAAAAACCTGACAACAACGTAACTAGAATGTCTTTGCATTGGAACCCACAGGGGCATAGAAATGATTGAAGACCAAAAAAACACATGGAGAAGGGAGCTAGAGAGTGAAGTTTAAAAGCTGGAGAAAGCTGCATGCAATAGCAAAGGATAGAATAACTTGGCGTGAGTTGGTTAAGGGCCTATGCTCCGCTGGGGGTTAGAAAGGCAGAAAAAGAAGAGGAAGAATTTTTCTTCTTTGTCACCCTTTATGTCTTATTTTACTAATTTTCTCAACATCTTATTTCATCACATCATCAATGATTACCATGCCTCATTCTTTCTCCCTGTAAATATCTTTCTAATGTCTAAATATCTCTTCTTTCTTTCTACTTGTTTCTGTAAGTGCCGATCGATACATTGTCTGTTTGTTTCTTACTATATTTACCCTGTAAAGCACCTGCCCACACACAGACACAAACAATATTTGATGAGATTTTGGTCACAGCTGATCCTACAGTGCTGCTTGGTTTCTTACAGCCGGGCCCATGAGGTCGAGGACATGCATATTGATATTGACACTTATGATGACGCAGAGTCCCAGTCCTTGAGGGAATCCCTGCAATGGGAGGCTTCCTCTAATTCATCACCTGCAGATTCCACATCAACAAATAATAGTAAGTAATTGAAACGAAAATAAGTGATACAATTTTAAACTTGTATACAGTGGTACATCCGAATTCAAACACCTCAGAATTCTAAAACTTGGAATGTGAATGAAATTTTCAAGTACATTTTTGTTTCTGAACTTGAACACCACTATGGAATTTCCAAATGTCTGGTAGGTGCTGATCATGTGACTAAGCTGATAACGCAGGTGCTTCAGCACCTTCACTAACAGCAGAAGGAAGAAATTGCAGAAACAGTTTCTGATAAGAAGAAAGAGGGGGAAAGATGGAAAGATTATCATTGCTGAAACCCAAGATCTTTTGACCATGTGATCAAAAACACAAGAAGCTTTTAAGTAGTAGCATCCTGATAGAGCCCTGGTTAAAGATGTGTTAGCTTATTCAGTAATAACAGTATTGAACAGTTGAAAAAAGGAACGCTGGCTGTCAACAAAAACTAGTGACCCCAAACCCTCTACAGGTGATTAACAACTACAATAAGAAACACCAGAAAGGTTTTCTGATATTATCACATAAGGTGACTCACCATCCAGACATTAATCTCCCTAAATGGTCCTTCCTCCTACTTCTGTATGCTGTGTCACCATTTTGATCAAGGTACAGTAAATACAATGTTTTTGTATCTTTTTATATTTTTATGATTGTATTCAGATGTGATCATTATGTGTTTACTGTATTTACTGTATTTAGGAAAATAAATATTAAAATCTGAGTTTGTTGAACCCAGGAACAGATTTTGTTTACTTGATTTTCTTGAGAAAAATTGCCTTTTAACTAAAACAATTTGGAATTTGAATGCCACATCTGAACAAATTCTGCTTGAATTCTGAGGTACCACTGTAATGTCAACTCAGAACTGCTGTATGAAGCAGGAACATGAAGAATCATTAAACTGCAAACATTCAGTTACTGTTACCTGAACATTGTAAAATGAATTAATTGGTATGACAGAGTCACTGATGAAAAGCATTGTGAGGGAACCAAACTAATTCCTGTCAATCAGGAGGTGAGGAAAGATGCTGGTACCGGATTGGACACACTTTGAGAAAACTGTATAATAATATAATTAGAACTTATGCACAGAAAAAAGGGAATTAAGTGTTATGACATAATCACTACTGAATAGCATTATGAAGGGAAAACAAATTAAATGTAAGTCAAGAGGTGAGGAAAGGATGCTGATATTGGATAGGGTACAGATGGATAGGAGAAAAAACAGATAATTATTTAATTAGAACATCCTCTGCACAAAATTGAGGTTTGAACAACAGATCAACATCATGGCACACAGGTAGTAACCCTTAAGTGCTCCGTTCTTCTTCTAACTCAAGTCAGCACAGAATAAAGAGAATTTAATTAAATGGCAGAATTACTAATGAATAGCTTTGTGAGAAAAAAAAATGTCATGAAAATCAAGAGGTGAGGAAAGAATACTGGCATTGGATAGGAAACACTTTGAGAAAACCAGATAATAATATAATTAGAATGTCCCCTGCAGTGGAGACCAAACAAAGACATAGAGAAACGAATTTGAGTAAAGTCACAGTTCAAATTGAGAAGATAGACTTCATTGACCTGCCTTATCCCATGTGGCGCTGTCTCTCTTCATGGACCTGCTGAAAGCCCTGCACAAATTACAAACTCTAGCTTCAATGAGGTTCCCTAGGGGTTTCTGAAGAAATGGTTCTTATGAGAGGAACAAGGCATCTGTGAAGTGACTGCATGACCTTCAAAGCACGAGGCAAATGGCGTGACCACTTTGCCATGGAGACCCCCTGCATAGAGACTGAGGTTAAACATATTGCAATAAATTAAATAAGCTGTAAGTGACAGAAAGCTAGGACAACCCGTCCAGTATGGGCACTGCTCTCACAGAAAGAAATTGCAACCTGCAAAGTAAAGTCATGTCTGTAGCCTCACAAAAAGAACTGATTTTCCCACATTAGAAAGACACAATCTACATTCTTTGGTCAAATGATGAGAATTAGAAAACTGGACAATATCTTGACAATAGAAAAGTTGGAGGAGAGGAGAGACAGAGGGAGACAGAGAGAAAAGATGCTGGACAGTCTGATATCATGGCATGGAGGATCATCTGTGTCAGAATTGGTTGAAAGTACACAAGACAGAAGGTTGTGGATAACATGACTACCAACGCCACACGTCATGTACTTTAAGAAGAGGAAGAAGTGAGAACATGGATAGGATAACTTGGCACAGATTGGATAAGAACCTGGGCTCCATTTGAGGAGAAAGGTCAGAAGGTTGTGCTCAACCGCAGCCATGTGCGTCTGTTACTGGTTCACTCCTCTGGCCCAGGAGACAGCGTTAGCGCAGTCAATAGGAGACTCGCTTTTAAATCCAGCTGCGACTTGCTGCAGCCTACGGCGGGTGTTCGAAACAGGATGGTTCCCGGGGTTCACCCAGCTTCTAGGAAATGGACACCAGAGTTAACACTCTGGGGTAAATGGAAGAACGTTGCAGTAGCTAGGGAAGTTTTGTTCGGACCGCAACAAAGTGGACAGATTCTTATCAACTGTCCATACTAGTGGCAGAGCACTTATGGTTTTATAGCCGTGTGCAGTGATGCTGGTTCACATCTCCCAACTTTATCTGTACCTTTACCTTTCCTCTAGCCCAGAGATCTTTGTGTCCAGCTTCATTATGTACAAAGTAATCAAGGACCCTCTTTATACTAGTAGTGCATCAGGCATCTGATGCTTGACTCATATTTGTGTACCAAACTTTCCCTCAGGGGAAGCACCAAATAACAACACTGCACCCTCCTAGGCATGTCATAAGAGGCGACTAAGGGTAAGTGGGGGTTACGCTTGGAGATGGCTAACTAATCTCATAAAACACAGTAGCTCAAAAAATGACCAACCATGAAAAAGATGACGGTGTAGGTTTGTTGAGAGCCTAAGCTACACTGGGGGATAAGGGCAGAAGAAGAAGAAAAAGACTGAACTCCATCCAATGCAGTGGGCTACTGCCTGTAAGTTTCTTTCCTAACAATTTTTCTAGGACACTGGCCTTATTTTTTTAAACTGTTCTCATTAGTTTCACTGTTCCCATTAGTGGTGTCTCTGGCTTAGGGCTTACAAACCCAGTTTTATAAATCCTGAGATTGATTCAGCAGTTCAGAAGCAGTGGCAAACTACTGTTTGGAATATTGCTTAGTAAAACTACAAGGACTAATAAATACTGGGGTTTGTTGGCAATGTCCAGTAAAAGATGTGCAGTTAACCTAACTTTATTAACAACATACTTGTTGCAGGTGGTACTGGCATCATTCCACCCACTGCAGCGCCAGCGGCGGCAGGGACAGGCGCTGGCTCCCAGAAGAGGTCCGGAAAACAGTCTGGTAAAGTCAGCAAAGCCAAGAAGCAAAAGATGGGGAAGCCAAGTGTGTCCAGTTCAAGCAGTGCGGGCAGCAGTAACAAAGATCAAAACAGTGCTAACCTCTTGGATTTCAACTGAAACACAATCATATTCAGTGTTGTAACTAAAGTGTCACTTACTACTGTCTGTATATAACGCTTTTTTAGGGCGATGTAGACAGGAGGGTCTTGAGCCTGGGGATTTAGGGCCACATGGTTAGTGCTGTTGCCACGGACTGTACAAGTTAGGATGTTTAATTTTGCCCCCGACAGAAAAACACCCTATCACCATATCAGGGGTCGAACCTGAGTCTCCTGCATAAGAGCCCTATGTCATAACTATTCAGCCAGTAACTCCTCTGTGTTGTAACCAAACAAGATATTGTCCCCATCTTATCATCTTAACTCATTTCAAATAAGTTCCACCTCCACAGTGAATGTGGGCTGTGATAGATCTCTAACGTTGCCCGTCTTTCTTCACCATAGTTGTGAACTCTGTGAGACTGCTGTTCAACCAACTGTGTCTATTATTCTCTATTATTCTCTGATTTCAACTGAATCACAACCGTCTTCAGTATGTTAACAAGAGCAAGCTCAACATCTTATGTAAAAGGTTAATCTGTTTCCGGTTATGGGTTTAAAAAATGTCTAAAGTGGCAGGTTCAGTTGTGGTCCACAATGTGTTCACATAATGTCTGAAGTGACAGGTTGAAATTTTTATTGTGCATGCGATTTACTGGCTAAGTTCTGGGCAACTGGTTGTTCCTTGCCGCTCAGGAGGGTACACTCCAACCTCAGAGGAAACTCCCAGCTAGTCAACTCTGTAACTTTAGTGGGGGGTGGGGGGGGGGGGCCACAGTGGGTCTGTTCTTGTTTCCCCACAATGGAGCCTAGAACCTTCTTCAGGGGGTGTTTCATATAATGTCTGCTATGACATTGTTCCTTCTAACAGGTTCATTGTTCCCCTTAACATGTTGAAGTAATGTCTTCTGTGACAAGCTCAGTTGTTTCCCTTGACATGTTGAAGTTATGTCTTCAGTAATAGGTTCAGCTGTTCCCCTTGACATGTTGAAGTAATGTCTTATGTGACAGGCTCAGTTGTTCCCCTTGACATGTTGAAGTAATGTCTTATGTGACAGGCTCAGTTGTTCCCCTTGACATGTTGAAGTAATGTCTTCTATGACAGGTTCATTTGTTTCCCATGACATGTTGAAGTAATATCTTCTGTGACAGATACAGTTGTTTTCTAAAATGTTTTTAAATAATATATCCCTGTGTCAGGTTCAGCTAAAGTTTTTTATTATAAGTTCCTGTGGCAATTTTTCTTGTGGCAAGTTCAGCTAATGTTCGATGTGACGTCAACAATGTGAGAAAATACTTTTAATGATGATATAGAAAGGATGTGACTGTTTCAGCTGATGTTTCGACTGTAGTCCTCCTTGATAGTTTCAGTTAATGTTTCCTGTGACAGGTTCAGCAGTTCCATGGACAGGTTTAGCAATTGTCCTTGTGACAAGTTAAGCTACTTTTCACTGTGACAAATTCAGGTAGTGTCCCCCATGACAGGTTCAAACTAATGCCTCCTTTAAGGTTCAAATAATGTCTTCTGTGACAGGCTCAACAAAACCTGCACCATTTCCAATGTAGTGACACATTGCGTGTTTATATATATATACATATATACATACATACACACACATAAAACTAAAACGATTGACTTCAAATGAAAACCTTAATTGAGGGACAGAAATTATAACAACCAGGCCATTGTCTTGTAACCTGTCAGTTCGTTGAGGATGTCAGGAGTGTTAAACACACAACATTGCGCATGATGTCATCATGACTGTTTAAAGATGGCCACCACACTTTTGACATGCACCAAAGAGAAGCAGCGTTCTGTAATCCATTTTTTGCTCAGCAAAGGTGAAAACCATAGAAATTCATCGGCAAATGAAGGCTCTGTATGGTAGTGCATGACTGCCAGTGTATGAGTAGAGTAGGCAGTTTCAAAATATTGTGACTTCTGTGACAGACTGTTCATGATTATTGTCGGGCACTTAAGTTTTTGTGAATATGTATATATGTTTAGTTATGTGTCTGGCCATTTGTACCAGTCTGCTAGCTGTACAACAGCCTTCTGTAAATAGAATGTTCACATATATAAATATGTTTCATAACTCGATTGTTTACGTATATAACTATGTGTTATTCTGTATGTTCTCCAGGCCTAATTTTTGCGGCGGGGTGAGGGGGGGGGGAACAAATAAACTCCCTGCCCCCGAACAAAAGGACACCAAGTTAAGGGTTTGCTAAAGTCAGATGTGTTGGACTGAAAGGCTGTAACCCACAACTAAGTGTGCCAGTTCAAAATGAGGTCCCACACAGTGAAAATTATCATGTGACATTTTTCACAGATTTTTTTCACAACCCTTACTTATTAGTTTTTTTTTGATTAACCTTAGATGTGTAGTTGAAATAAAGATTGGTAGAATATATTGTTGCAGTTTGGATTGTTTCCTGAGTGAAGGTGCATTGATAATAATATGGAGGCTTATTTTCTAGGTGGGTGTATGTTGAGTTGAGTCAAGAGTTGACATCACAGCACTTGGGGCATTCCTATGCCTGCTCCATCCTCATCCTCAGCAGCCAGCACAGAGTTCCAATACTAATGGTGCCGGTCATAATCTGGTTATATGTCCGTCTTGCCTTTTCCCTGAGTGTAGTGAGGCGGCCAGACCCCCTGGTTACACCCAGGTGCCTTATTCTCTCCAGGCCATAATATTTTTGTTTTGCTTCTGACTCGGTTGCTTGTTCCCAAAGGGCCCTGACCACATCTGTCTTGTCATGTATCAGTTCACCACCCATTGATGCAGAACCAGCCAGTCTGTCTGCCTGTTCATTACTCACTACACTGGCATGGCCTGGAGAAAAGATTCAAAGTATGCTCACTACCCGTGACCTTTCCAGTGAAGCTTGCCACTCTGCTCAAACCATCCTTGGCTTCACCTTTCTCAGCATACTTCCAGAGTCTGTTACAATTATGACATGTGTATGCATCTTGTTCTCTAGCCACCAGAAAGCTGCAGTTACTGCCTCCACCTCCATTCTCATGCTAGCAAGTGGTCTTATATGCTAGACTGTACTGCACTAAAGATTTTCTATTGGCTTTCGCTACGAACCCCTAGGCACTTCTCTTCCCTCTCAAAACCAAACCATCTGTATAGATAATCAGAGAATTGCCGTGAATCAACTGTTTGACTTTTAACCTCCATAGCACCCACTGGACTGGCAACTCTTTGCACTCCCGGCCCAATGTGATCATAACTCTACACAGATCAGACTTTTCCTCTGGTACTATGACCCACTCCTCTCCTCGCCCACTGTTCTTCAGCATGCATACTTGTCTTATTGTGTCTTTTGCTTGAGCCATCCACGACTTTCCCCTTTTCAGCCTTTGACCTTTACCTGCAGCCAAAGATTCATAGTAGGTGTGGGTTTGTAATATCACAATGGTATGTATTGTATGTGGATGTGAGTTGGTAATGTGTCTGAGGAGCATTGTTTAGATTGGAAATATCACTGAAAAGTCTCATGCGTGGGTCTGTAGTGTCTTTTGAACATCAGTGGAACCTAAACTCTGTGGACCACTGAACGAACTAAAAGTGACAGTGAAATTTATGCGGGAGACAAAATTGCTAATATAGACAACTTATTTCAGGCAAACGAAATGTGAGGAAAGTTTTCTTGTTTGTGGGTGTGGATTGTTAATACCACTTATTGTCTTAAATGAGCAGGCAGATAAGACTGGCCGGCTCTGCACCACTTGGTGGTGAATTGATGTATGACAAGTTAAATATTGTGAGGGCCCTTTGGGAAGAAGTGCTGATGTGCAGATAGATCATTACGGTCTGACGAGAATGGCGCTGCGAGGAGTTACCAGGGCATGTGGCCGACGCTCAACATTCAGGAGAAGGATGAGACGGATATACAATCAGATGGCTACTGGTGGCATCGGAACTGGAACTCTTCACTTGCTGCTGAAGATGGGAACAGAGCACTTATTGGAGTGTCCCGAGTGCTGTGATGTGGATTCCTAATTCAACATTCAACTTATTGTCTTGTGCTTTGGTTGGGAATATTGCTGATGATGGTCTCATATATGCTTTTATTTGGTTGCAACGGATGTGATATACTTCTCTACTTTTTTTGGGTGACCTATCCAGCTCTTACACCAACCAACTCTACGCCATTTCTGAGTTGAAATTCTTTAGTTTCACAGTAAATAATATTTTCAATCGACATAAAGGCCCCTTTTCCGCACCTTCAGGCATATAGGGCTAGACCTGTATTTCATAGACCAGTCGGCACTCAGGGGGTGATGTGGTCAGCATTACGCTGGCCACTTTGACTTCCTAGGACTTTACCTCGTACCCATTGAAGGCTGAGTGGACCTGGGAACCAAGGTAATTTTTTTTTTGAATGCCAAGCTTCTTACAGATTTTAACTCAGGACCTTCACATCTACACCCCGATGCCTTCCAAATCTACATGCCCGTATATTTATTACTTAAAATAACCTCTTAGAAGTATCATATGATTATCATCATGTACTATTATCTGTCACTTGGGCTCCAAGTTTATTCTTTGATTCCATTCTTTTTTGTGTAATCTTTTCAGTATCAGTGATTGAATCTAGTCTTCTTCTTCTGCCTTTCTATCCCCCAATGGAGTGTAGGCCCTCAACCAACTCACGCCAAGTCATTCTATCCTTCGCTATTACATGAAGCTCTCCCCTTGGATCTTGTTCAGCACATCACCTGTAACCTCTCTCGTCATCGTTCATTGTACGATTTTTGGAGATGAATGGTCAAAGACCACGAGGCAGACCAAGAAGACGATGGAGAGATAATATCCAGACAGACCTGCAAACACTTGGTGTCACCAACTGGAAAGAGAGGGCCAACTAGAGAGATGAATGGAGGTGGGTGTTATCTACAGCAATGAACCTCAAGGGCTCGGGATGCTGAAGAAGACCAACCAGAGAGATGAATGGAGGTGGGTGATATCTACAGCAATGAACCTCAAGGGCTCGGAATGCTGA